AAAAGGAATTGCAAAATGTGGGCCATAATAATACCATAATTTCTTAAGACAAATTATTTAAATTTTGTTTATATAATATATTTTTTAGAATACTTTTTCAGCAATCAGTTAAAATAAAAAAACAACAACACTGCATGTATGATAATGTACAGTATGATAATGCTCAAGCAAAAATTGTGATACAGCTTTAAAATAAATAAAAAGATAACTTTATGCAAAAAAAACAACTTATAAATAAAAAAATGCAGTCACTTAAAGATGAACTGAAAAAAAATCGACATTGAAAACGGTTTATGGCAATTAAAAGTAAATTACACTAAACATTTTAAATAAAAACATATTAATATATAGCTTTTTAGAATCCAACACAAAAATTGTGCTTGTTAGCACTGGCAATTTCGATGACGTCACTGGCATGGTATGACCCCGTGAAGCTACATAGACAACATCTGCAGGTCTTATATACACAGACGAAAATGAGCAATTTTAACGGCATGGATTACGCATTAGCCCGTGAAGGAAAGGCCAGAAGTATCTGACTACCAGGACATGGAGGACGATCAGTTTCATGCCCTACTTACAGTACAGGATCGTTTGGGGAAGTGACAGTGGGCGCGGGTGGTGCTAGAGCATGGACACCGCACCGGAGTCAATCTGTTGTGCATGAGAGGTCAACCTGGGACATTTATTGATCGGCGAAAAATTGCATCACCGTGCACCGTTCATTTCGGATGCTGTGCGGTGATAGAAACCAGTCCCTCCAGAAAAACGTGATTATGCGATCGCCGAATTCAATGCATAATCAGCCGAAGTCTGCATATTCAGGGTGGCTACAGGTATAAACTTTTTAAGACTTTTTAATACCACTTCTAAATTAAATTTAAGACCAAACTTACAATGGAAATATAAATTAATACTGAAAATATACAGTACAATTTCCAAGTAAACACACTGTCTGTTCAAAAATATGGTGAAATGACAATAACCAATTGTCAATTGCGTACATGCGGTCGCCTGTGGAGTGAAAAGAAATATAGAAGCATTTTTATAAATGTCTTAAGCCTTGTATGTTTTAATAATAAAGTATACTAATAAAGGCGTAGATTTAATTACTAATAAAGGCATATAACCAGTTTATTTATAGTGTACTAATAGTTTTATATAATTCGTTGGTTAATTAAACAAATAAAAAGATTTAAAAAAAGACTGAATATGTTTGGTTATTGTACCTTTTAATTAATAAATTAAAAATTAATTTGCTATTTTCAGATCGATATATTTATTTCCTTAATTTAATTAATCCTAACTTTATTCCTCATCATAAGAATTATAAATAATGATTTCCGTATAAAATGATACTACAAACACTTAAAAATAAACAGATTAGTGCCCTGTTTTGAAGACAAGAAATGAAAACCAATGCGATATGATGAATGTCCAAAAGATGGAACTCTGTAACGGCCACCTAGTGTTCAGTAAGTGTTCATGACATGTTTGTATGCCTTTAAGATGACTTCTTCTATGGTGTTCTTATTGTATGCGTGATGTAATGTGAGCGCACATGCACAGTCAGTGAAGATGACCGATCTATCGCGGGTTTGTTTTATTATAATGTGTTTACTTCCACTTTGATTTGTAGCGTTTTACAGAGTGTTTTCTTAAACCTGTTAATGAGAGTATAGGCCTACACAAATATGATCGCACCCGCGTTTCTCTAAACACACACACAGGTTACGTTACCTGTAGAAACTATTCGACCTGGCTGGCGAACGATTGCCTTTGATATACATATGTGATGCATATATTGCATATTCAAGACCCATCCAATCTGAATTTAAGACAATTTAATACTTTTTTAAGGCCTTATTTTTAGAAAAATTGATTTAAGGCTTTTTAATGACCCGTGGCCACCCCTGAATATTCATGCGGGGGCCGCATTTTCGCCGCATAAATTGCCTGATTTCAGTGCAATCTCATAATCCTTGCATTTTTCATTGCAAAAAAGGCACATATCTTAGCAGAAAGTTGAAAAAATGTGCGTTTGCTTCACACGAGCAGCCATTTCCCCCTGTATCCGTGGGAACCTTATGAAGTGACGCAATTATGCGAAGGGGTAGAGCTGGTACCCGAGTGGACCTCTAGATTGAAAAAGCGTCAATGCAAGTGAATGAGAGAAAATAATCATTTTCTGATCCCGTTTGAATTGTGCATGATGAATGTGACATATGTTGTCTGTGAATTTTTTTATATAATTTCTCATGTAACGAGTTTATTGTATGATTCTCTGGCTAGCAGTTGTGGAATAGACATAACGAGAGGACTACACGTCACATATGTGATAACACCGCATAACACATTTTCTCCCTCCACAAATCACAGGTTTTCACCACGCTCAACTATTTTGTCCTCTCCCTTAGGGCTGGGTAATAAATATCGATTTCTCGATATTAATCGATTCTCATTTTTACGAACCGATATCGATTCTTAAGTCTCAAGAATCGATTATTCATCCCGCTTCATTTGAATGAATGGATCATTGATCATCAAAAAAAAAAAAAAAAAAAAAAAATCGCAATCATCTTTCTCCTTTGTTACTATTGATATGAAGCAAAGTCTCAATTTTCAAATTACATCCATTTTTCTTTAGAAATTCAAAAACATAAATAGGGTTTTGTCGCTGTGGCGTGAGATCGCTCTGGAGAAGCAGCAGCGCTGATCTCTCTTCCGGCTTAATAATACCAGTCACAGCGCCAAATAAACATGAATGAGCATCTGAAAGTGTGTTAAAGATAGAGGACAACTTATCCAAATTCGTATCATGTCACATTGATTCGCTCAATCAGCGTTTCAACCGTGGAAAGACGTCAGTTAAACAGCTTTCACACTCCAGCATTGCAATCTTTGACATCGCAGCCTGTTAAAGGGTTAGTTCACCCAAAAATGAAAATTAAGTCATTAATTACTCACCCCCATGCTGTACCAACCCCGTAAGACCTTCGTTCATCTTCGGAACACAAATAAAGATATTTTTTGATTGAATCTGAGGGCTGGATCACTTTTCCATAGACAGCCTGAGGGACTGCCTCTTGACGGCCCAGAAAGTCATTAAAAGAAAAGGTTTAAATATTCCATGTGCCTACAGTGGCTCAACTATAACTTTATCAAGCGATGAGACTACTTTTTGTGCGAAAAAAAAAAACGTAAATAACGACTTTATTCGACTTTCCATTACTTCCTTATGGGCGCATGCGCGAGAACTGAGACGAGACCGTTCTTCTTCGACTACTTTTTGTTACCGGCTGCTCACCGCTTAGGAGTTTTACCGCCCCCTACCGTATAAGATGACGTACTGCTTGTAAACAGAACGTTTTGCACCTCCGGCTATATCAGTACGTCATCTTATATATACGTCATCTCTACTCAATCTGCTTTTCTTTTTGTGTATTAAAAAAACACCACTGAACTGCAGATTTAGTTTTTTGTATAGTGAATATATTCAAGTAGATTTGGCCTCTAGTTTATTTTGGTTTGTAATTTCATTTAATATTTATACATTTGACAATATTTAAATGTTTTACAACAAAGTACATTACACTATATAAGTATTTAAGTACACTCCCTGCATTATGCACTTTTAGTACTTTTGTGTGTTCTAACCTAATGCTGCTGTTGTCTTCTGTGCCAAGACTTGAGTTTTATTTCATGTTTGATACATTCAAGAAGTGTATTTTTTAGGTAAAATTAAAGGTTCAGTTCATATATCTGACTGCTTGTATTTATTGACAAAATTGTAAAAAATAAGGATGCAGTGCATCGTCAATGCATCGAGATAATCGAACCGAACCGAAGACTTTATAATCGTAATCCAACCGAACCGTGAGACCAGTGTAGGTTAACACCTCTATTGTCCAAAGTGCTATACAAATAAAAAATGACTTCTAAAAAAGGTTCTTACCAATGACAACTTCCTTTAAGACCAGGCTGTGGACACCAATCTTCCCATTAACTCCTCTCCAATTCATAACACGTGCAACAGCAGTTGTAAAAGTGGCTTTCAGCACTCTCCACACGGTGTCTTTGAGGTCAAAGCCACCAACCAGACCCAGAAAGGTAGTCTCCGAAAAAATATAAAAAACATTGTGTAAGTGGTTAAAACAGGCATTTAAATAGACCACCCTAAAATGAAAATGCTTTTATATTCAAAAATTAACTATAAACCATCACATACTCCATCTGAAAACATTTTCTAGGATTGTTATATGGAAATTCTTGTCATTGCCCAACCTATACCGCACGTTTGGGCTGGGCAGTATGACAATACATACCATCTACCTATCTATAAATTACAGGGACGTCTGTGTGTGTTGTGTCAGCCATTCAAAGTAAATGGGGGGAAAAACGTTCGCCCCGTGTGAATGCACCGTTATAGCTTTAAAGGGGTCATATACCCGTGGTTGTTGATTGACAGCAGTGTTTCAACACAGACCCGCCCTGAGCGAGCTGTCATCGTAGACTAAAGTCCGTCATTGTTGATACACTGGAGCAGAATGGCGTCTAAGCGATTGTGTTGTTCTGTTCTTGGGTGATGTAACAAACTCAGAAATCATTCTGATGTTCCTAAATCCAAACCGCTGAAGATGAGTTTTGTTTACAATGGGAATATTCCCCAATATCAACGTCAATACTTTTTTGTTTGCGCGATTCATTTATCACCAGACTGCTTTATAAACGAGGATCAGTATACAGCTGGTTTTGCTAAGCTGCTCCTGACAAAAATAATCGGTACCAACTGTTTATGTTCCCTCTGCACCTAAAGTTTTATTAATCTTTATATTAATCTGTGCATATCTCAGGAAAAAGTTTTTCATGACCATTAGTTGTAACGTCAATCAATGAACTAACGTATACATCAGTAAACACAGCGTTCGTATCTCACTACTCTACCCTGCCAGATAGATCAAAGTAACATTACGTTAACCAAGCATTCACAAACATCCTCAAGCCTTAACTAATCGAACTTCTTTGCGGCCCTCATCTTGTTCCGGTGAACAGTTACTCCAGTTCAAACTGATACGGTTGCACAGATGTGTCCTCAGAAACCTTCAACTGTTGTCAAGGCAACGGGTTCACGCCCGCAGAACAGAGGGGCGGGGTTTATTATTTAAAGGCATATGTATGAAGGTAAAATGATGACAAAAAGAATTGCATGCGCAAGGTAAGATTTGTGAAAGAGTACATAAGATTGCAAGCGTAAAATTGCGAAACTCGGTTAGTGAGAGAATCGTGCCAAAACTGGAAGCGCAGGAAAAAGAGAGACGCAACTGTACAGATCGGGTTATTTTGGGAACTTTTTTACCCATGCCCACAAGTCATTCAGACATTGGCAACAGTTTATTTTTTTACACAAAGTTTAATTTTACGCAATTCATCTGTTTTGCAGTTCTGCCTCTGTTGTTTTCGTTTGCAGACTGCTGTTCTTAGGCTTGCAATACTTTTGGCCGCAGTTGTGCGCAAAACCCTTGTCAAAAGATTAAGCGTGGAAAAACGAAAGTCTGAAGAAAACAGATCTTATTTATTTTGCGTTAGCATGAAGCTGCAGCTTCAAAATACATGAATTGCACTTACGAATAACAGTTAAATGCTGCAAATATTTTTTTCTTACACTTGAAGGGCGATTTACACCTTTACAAATCTTCCTTTGCGCATGCAAATTTATTTTACGCTTGCAATCTTATATAATCTTTCACAAATCTTACCTTGCACATGCAATTCTTTGTCATCATTTTACCTTCATACATATGAGACTCAAACAGCTTGCTGAAAACAAGAGCTGATTTTGACCCTGTAAAATGGTGTTTTCTTAAAACACAAATGAGAATGTTTAATAGAAGTATATTACAAAGTTTTCATTTAGACCTTAAACATTCATATTAACTTGTACAAAAATGGCATTATATAAACCCCTTTAATAAGAAGAGATTTATATTTAATTCATGCAGGGAAGACCATGAAGTATTTTATATTTACATTTTATTTTATTTCTTTACTGTTTCAAACTACTAGGCTATATTTTATTTCTTACCAATTCTGATTTAGCATCAGGATTCATCTTCAGCTCAGCCTCCAGGCACTGGAGAGACTCAACATTTTTGATAGGAAGACGATCTCTGAACTTGGCCCCATCATGGACATCAGACCTTGGGCGATGTGTTGACTGTAGGATTCTCATTATTGTATTTTGCTGGTCTAGAAGCATTTCTTGTTTTGTCAATATCTCTCTTAGCAAAACTGAAAGAAATTAACATGCAAATTAGCTGACTGACACAATCAAGTAAATGTGTTGCACTAGGACTTGCTATATTCAGAACAGTTTGGATAATTTAAAAGATTATTTTCTAAATGCCATATGTCCAAAGAACATTCATCTCTATAACCATTCATCATAGATATTAAAGTCCCTGTAAAGTCAAAATTAAGTATGTGTTCTGAGAATGTCACACCACAGAAAAATGTGTTATTAGCCACCCAGCCAAATTAAATGATAAAAAAGCCGGCAAGTACATAAAATAAGCTATCAAAATCTTGAAAAAATGAGCAGTTATCTCTGTTCTCAAACGCTGGGGGCGTGTTTGCTGGCTGTGCTGAAACCACGGCCATTAGTGGGAGCTGTCGACAGTGATATAAGGTAAAACTGCTTTCGCGACGGGAGGATGAACGCTGAGGCGGGAGATAGTCGTTTCGGCCCCGTTCACCAGCAACAGCGGATCATCAATGAATCCCAGTTGTCTCTGAGGAAAGTTTATAAAACTATTCAGTGTAAAACGATCACTACAGAGGCGGGTGTTGGGGGTGATCCTCAGCTCTTCATCAACAAGGTTGGCTCTCTAAAAACCTCTTCTTGATGTGATCGTTTTTTAGGGAATTTAAATGAAGATACCGATCTGTTTTGTACATGATCGCATCCAGGTAGCCTATGCATGTCTGTGTCGAAGGTATAGCTAGCTAGCAAACTGTAGGCTCAGCTGTAGTTGTACTGACAGTCACTCGCGATTGAGCGGTGAATGCGAATGTGCTCGGGGAGTGTTGTGTGTTAAGGGAGAGATCAGACTCTGTGCGTCATCAACTAGGGGCGTGTCCAGGAGCTCATGGGCTCCAGTGCGTCATCGAGCCCTGTTTTAGCCCCGCCCAAACAATCCATAAAATTGCAATGGTGAAAACTGTTTAACGGTCTAACTCCACATTTCAGTACTTCACAGTTCACAGACTTTGTAATGTTTTAGCAATACATATGTAACATTTATAATGCGTTTAGAACTTTTTTTGTAGAATTGCCTTTACAGGGACTTTAAAGGATTAGTTCACCTCAAAATGAAAATGTATTAACCCAAATGCAAGATATCCATGTCTTTCTTTCTTCAGTGGAACATAAATTAAGTTTGCGTAAAATTTCTGGGGGTTTTTTTTGTTTTGTTTTTCCACAGAAATGATTTCCATCGCATTTCTAATGCAGTTTCAAAGTTCTTTGAAGTGCTTCAATGGGCTTTGCAACAAGCCGGGAACAACATCAATGGTGCGATGGTGCCAGCGGAAATACTCATATATGGAAGTACCATTTGTAAACAGAATTTATTCACCCCAATGCCATATCTTGGATGGCATTCGGGTGAATAAATTATTAGGAAATTTTCATTTTGAACTAATTCTTTAATCAAGAGTATTAAACCTGTGTTATCTTTAATGTTGCACAATTGTAACATACTTTGTAGTGGTTGGTTTCTCCTTAAGCCAGATTCCGAGCCTGCTGGCTGCAAGTAATCTAAACTTTGCTGGCTATTTTGCTGGAAGACAGATGGTTGGTGATTTGGTAGTGGCTGACTAGCTAGCTGTTGGAGAGGTGGTTGGCTCCATGCTGGCTGCTGACTAGCTGGTTTATAGAACAGGGATTGGTCACTTGCTTGTGGCTGATTAGCTGGCTTGTAGATCAGGGATTGGTCACTTGCTTGTGGCTGACTAGCTGGCTTGTAGAACGGGGATTGGTCACTTGCTAGTGGCTGAGCTGGCATGTAGATCAGGGATTGGTCACTTGCTTGTGGCTGACTAGGTGGCTTGTAGAACGGGGATTGGTCACTTGATGGTGGCTGATTTGCTGGCTGTTGGAGAGGTCGTTGGCTCCATGCTGGTTGGTATAAAGGAAATTGGTCAATCACTGGTAGCTGACTAGCTGTCTGGCAGAGAGAGGGCTGCTGTCTTGCTGAAGAGGGGCTTTTAGTTGACTGACTAAATGTTTGACTTGCTGGGGGCTTAATACGAGGCGGTGGTTCCAGGCCTTTCAAATTTTGCCCTTCATTATCATCATCATCACTGTCACTCAAAAGTCTAAAGTTTTGAAGTCTATAGCTCTTCCTTTCATAGAAAAATAGAAATTGACACAAGGTTACTACTGCCATATACTGAAAGAGATATTTGCTAGATTAAAAAAAAACAATAATAATCAAATAAAACTCATAAGAGAATAAAAAACTCCTGTTGGAAAAGAGAAATGTTTGCTTACATAATTCGTCTGGGTTTTTTAGCCCCACTCTCTGTATCAGATTGAATGTCAGAGAAGAGTTCTGCTTCAGGGAGCTTTTTCCTGGCATCATCATAGTTGTCTAAAACACATGCAAGACTAAATGACAACCACATTGTCTAAATTGTTCACACATACATTCTTTACTGGTAAACTACCGGTAAATAAACATTAACATTAAAATAATTTTGTTTATTAATCAATAATTAATAGTTACTGACGGTTATGCCATTCCAAACCTGTAAGACCTTCATTCACAGGGTTCATACAGATTCTGTAAAATGAACTTCCAGGACTTTCAAGGACTTTTCAAGCACTACCTTTTGGGATGTCAAAGACTTCAATCAACACCTATCAAATTCGACTGTAACCGAACGTGACGCGCTGTTTGAATGCTGAATGGAGAATTACTGTCAGTAATCTAATTCTCCATTCAGGATTTAAACCATAAAAACAGTTATTTAACAATAACACAGAATAGTATACGCAAAATATCGGATTTCAATTCCCACCCCTACATGTCTTTCTTTCTTCAGTTGAAAAGAAATTAAGGTTTTTGATGAAAACATTCCAGCATTTTTCTCCATATAATGGACTTCAATGGGAACCAAACGGTTCAAGGTCCAATAGACAGTTTCAGTACAAACTGCAAACTGTTCAAAGAGCTTTAAACGATTCCAGGCTAAGGGTCTTATCAAGCGAAATAAGGGTCTTATCAAGCGAAACGAGCGCTCATTTAAAAAAAAAAAAAGCTTAAGTTTTATAAGCTCAAATGGTCGCCTTGCTCTGTACTGCGATGCACATTGGTAACTCTCCTGTTTGAACTCGTTCATCAAAATCAAATCTTTTTCTGAGTCAATTCATTTGTTTGGTTCATTGAATGAACCAATTGACTCGGAATAAGATTCGTTCATTTTGATGAATGACTTCGAACAGGAGAGTCACGTACGTGCATCGCAGTACAGAGCAAGGCGACATTTATATACCATGTATTCTGGTTCTGATGTGTGAAAGATATCTTACTGGTAAAAAAACAGAACGCCATTGCGTGATTAAACAGCACCTTTTTTGTGTTTAGTGGAAAAGTTGTACTTGTAATTCTACAGTAATTAACCAGGCTTACTATGCAAAAGAGACAAACAGAATAAACATGAGCATAATTCAGGGCTCTAGACTTCGACCAAATAGTCGCATTTTGCGACCAAAATTTGAGAGTGTGCGACTGAATTTTACATCCAGTCGCACATGTGCGACCGGTAAATTTGTCACACGTTAAACGCATGGTAAGCGTGGAAGGGACGCGTCAATGAATCCGTGACAAGAATAGCGCGATTAAACGTCTGTGGGAAGGAGACAGAGACAAATATCACAACCTGATGTGCGTCTGAGCAATAAGCGATCTATCGACACGTTACCTAGCAACGAATACAAACAAAATGAAAGTGGAACTAAAATACGGCTATTTTCACTCCAAGTCCTTATAGACCATTTCACAAGATGTAAACAACACTGGTCCAGAAACACTTCCTGTTTCAGTTTGTAACTGTTTTCTTTATTTCACATGTAAAGACAACATCTTAAAGATGTTTGTTTAACTTTTTGATTCAGTTTTAAATGTTCTGTTGGTTGTATTTTATCCCAGCTTTTATGTAGTGTTAAAAAACTGAAACAGGAAGTGCTTCTGGACCAGTATTGTTTACATCTTGTGAAATGGTCTATACATAGGCCTACATGTTTTCTCTCCTTTTGTTTTTAATTAATATTAAGACATTATAAGTGATAATAACTAAAGTTAACTTCATCTACACCCTAAATTAATCTAAGTGATTTATTGTCAGCCCCAGTGCTACCAGTTTTTTTTTTGTTTTTTTTTTTTGTTTTTTGTATAACTTGGTGTGAGTTCTGATTTGAGGTGATGCTGCCCTCAAATTTGAGTCTGGAGCCCTGTGAACTTAAAATAAAACAGCATATCATAATGTTAAGTCTATTTATTATTAAAGAATTTGTCAGTATTACAGTTATTTTGGGGGAAATTTGAATAATTGCATTGCGAGCTGATTTAAGGTGTGCCCCTAAATTTTCTGCTTGTGTTCCTAAAATTTTCAGTCAGGGGCAACAGCGCTCCTAGTAAAAAAAAGTTAGTCTGGAGCCCTGTAATTTATAAAACATTTAGGCCTATACATTTTATAACATTGTATAAAAATAGAAAAGTTGATAGAATCCACAGATATTCTAAACACTATCAAATATTTTTCTTTTGCAATAAAAATCTGTTTTCCTTCATTTTGTTAATAAAGCTCAAAACTTATAGTGAGACATTAAATATTATGCATCACATATATTTTTTGGGGTTAAACATTAAAGAACTACCTGTTGTGTAGAGAACCTTTACTTGAAAGATTTTCCACTCTTTCTTGGGTTTCGTTGCAAGTTTCACAGCCTTTGTGAGGCTCTCCCCTCTTAGGCGTGGCCAGACACATTGGTCACCATCTACCCAACAGCTGGGCACCACTTCCACCTCATTTGTTTCCAAAAAAGAAACGATATGGAACATGCCTATTATTGAATAGAAAAAAAGAAAAATAACATAAATCTGAAAATATCGTTCACATACTAAAACAGTTCATTTGAGTTCCACAGAGGGTCGCGCTCAAATAACGTTAAATCAGAATATCAGAAAGTCAACAGAAACAGATGATAATAATACTCTTCCCACTGGACACAGCTTACTGAATACAGTTGTAGTAGTACTCTTCCCGCTGGACACAGCTTCACTGCTTACAGTCTGTAGACACACTCTTCCCGCTGGACACAGCTTCACTGCTTACAGTCTGTAGACACACTCTTCCCGCTGGATACAGCTTCACTGCTTACAGTCTGTAGACACTCTTCCCGCTGGATACAGCTTCACTGCTTACAGTCTGTAGACACACTCTTCCCGCTGGATACAGCTTCACTGCTTACAGTCTGTAGACACACTCTTCCCGCTGGATACAGCTTCACTGCTTACAGTCTGTAGACACACTCTTCCCGCTGGATACAGCTTCACTGCTTACAGTCTGTAGACACACTCTTCCCGCTGGATACAGCTTCACTGCTTACAGTCTGTAGACACACTCTTCCCGCTGGATACAGCTTCACTGCTTACAGTCTGTAGACACACTCTTCCCGCTGGACACAGCTTCACTGCTTACAGTCTGTAGACACACTCTTCCCGCTGGACACAGCTTCACTGCTTACAGTCTGTAGACACACTCTTCCCGCTGGATACAGCTTCACTGCTTACAGTCTGTAGACACTCTTCCCGCTGGATACAGCTTCACTGCTTACAGTCTGTAGACACACTCTTCCCGCTGGATACAGCTTCACTGCTTACAGTCTGTAGACACACTCTTCCCGCTGGATACAGCTTCACTGCTTACAGTCTGTAGACACACTCTTCCCGCTGGATACAGCTTCACTGCTTACAGTCTGTAGACACACTCTTCCCGCTGGATACAGCTTCACTGCTTACAGTCTGTAGACACTCTTCCCGCTGGATACAGCTTCACTGCTTACAGTCTGTAGACACACTCTTCCCGCTGGATACAGCTTCACTGCTTACAGTCTGTAGACACACTCTTCCCGCTGGATACAGCTTCACTGCTTACAGTCTGTAGACACACTCTTCCCGCTGGATACAGCTTCACTGCTTACAGTCTGTAGACACACTCTTCCCGCTGGACACAGCTTCACTGCTTACAGTCTGTAGACACACTCTTCCCGCTGGATACAGCTTCACTGCTTACAGTCTGTAGACACACTCTTCCCGCTGGATACAGCTTCACTGCTTACAGTCTGTAGACACACTCTTCCCGCTGGATACAGCTTCACTGCTTACAGTCTGTAGACACACTCTTCCCGCTGGATACAGCTTCACTGCTTACAGTCTGTAGACACTCTTCCCGCTGGATACAGCTTCACTGCTTACAGTCTGTAGACACACTCTTCCCGCTGGATACAGCTTCACTGCTTACAGTCTGTAGACACACTCTTCCCGCTGGATACAGCTTCACTGCTTACAGTCTGTAGACACACTCTTCCCGCTGGATACAGCTTCACTGCTTACAGTCTGTAGACACACTCTTCCCGCTGGATACAGCTTCACTGCTTACAGTCTGTAGACACACTCTTCCCGCTGGATACAGCTTCACTGCTTACAGTCTGTAGACACACTCTTCCCACTGGACACAGCTTACTGAATACAGTTGTAGTAGTACTCTTCCCGCTGGACACAGCTTCACTGCTTACAGTCTGTAGACACACTCTTCCCGCTGGATACAGCTTCACTGCTTACAGTCTGTAGACACACTCTTCCCGCTGGATACAGCTTCACTGCTTACAGTCTGTAGACACACTCTTCCCGCTGGATACAGCTTCACTGCTTACAGTCTGTAGACACACTCTTCCCGCTGGATACAGCTTCACTGCTTACAGTCTGTAGACACACTCTTCCCACTGGACACAGCTTCACTGCTTACAGTCTGTAGACACACTCTTCCCACTGGACACAGCTTCACTGCTTACAGTCTGTAGACACACTCTTCCCGCTGGATATAGCTTCACTGCTTACAGTCTGTAGACACACTCTTCCCGCTGGATACAGCTTCACTGCTTACAGTCTGTAGACACACTCTTCCCGCTGGACACAGCTTCACTGCTTACAGTCTGTAGACACACTCTTCCCGCTGGATACAGCTTCACTGCTTACAGTCTGTAGACACACTCTTCCCGCTGGATACAGCTTCACTGCTTACAGTCTGTAGACACTCTTCCCGCTGGATACAGCTTCACTGCTTACAGTCTGTAGACACACTCTTCCCGCTGGATACAGCTTCACTGCTTACAGTCTGTAGACACACTCTTCCCGCTGGATACAGCTTCACTGCTTACAGTCTGTAGACACACTCTTCCCGCTGGATACAGCTTCACTGCTTACAGTCTGTAGACACACTCTTCCCGCTGGATATAGCTTCACTGCTTACAGTCTGTAGACACACTCTTCCCGCTGGATACAGCTTCATTGCTTACAGTCTGTAGACACACTCTTCCCGCTGGATACAGCTTCACTGCTTACAGTCTGTAGACACTCTTCCCGCTGGATATAGCTTCACTGCTTACAGTCTGTAGACACACTCTTCCCGCTGGATATAGCTTCACTGCTTACAGTCTTGTAGACACACTCTTCCCGCTGGATACAGCTTCACTGCTTACAGTCTGTAGACACACTCTTCCCGCTGGACACAGCTTCACTGCTTACAGTCTGTAGACACACTCTTCCCGCTGGATACAGCTTCACTGCTTACAGTCTGTAGACACACTCTTCCCGCTGGATACAGCTTCACTGCTTACAGTCTGTAGACACACTCTTCCCGCTGGATACAGCTTCACTGCTTACAGTCTGTAGACACACTCTTCCCGCTGGACACAGCTTCACTGCTTACAGTCTGTAGACACACTCTTCCCGCTGGATACAGCTTCACTGCTTACAGTCTGTAGACACACTCTTCCCGCTGGATACAGCTTCACTGCTTACAGTCTGTAGACACTCTTCCCGCTGGATACAGCTTCACTGCTTACAGTCTGTAGACACACTCTTCCCGCTGGATACAGACATTATAAACTATGAATTATGAATACTTACCAATTGTGACTTTTGAAGTAGTTTATCGCCACATCACATTCCATATTTAATTTTTTGTTTCATGAACTTGTGCAGAATGTAGTAATGGTAAAACAACAAAATTTTCTCTAAGAGGTAACCTAACATACTTCTCAACACTGCCATCAAACTCTGAGATGTGCAAGTCTTCAGAGAGTTCCCTCACAACAAAAATTCCCAAATCACTTGAATTCATTGGATAGTCAAAGAAAGAGGTTCTATGTTTATACTCTTTGTACACAATAAATACTTTTCCTTCGCTCAAAATGATGTTCACAACAGTGGCAATACTATTCTGTATTTTCACACAATTGTCTCCTTCAGTTATTTTAATGACTAAACCACCAAGGAAAGCCTCTTGAAACTGGTTAACTGCTTTTGAAAATATCAAAGGTACAGGGCCATTGTTGTGTTCACGTCTAAGGGTCCTATTGATGGTCTCATCACGTGCATTGCTCTGAGCATTAATTTCGGATAGCCTGCGAATGACTTGGGCCAAAGGATTGCTAGGTCTTCTGACAAGCTTTTTAAGAGTGCCCAAGAAATTTTCAAAAGGAAAAGCAGAAAATTCCTCTAAATTACCATGCTGCTTTACATCCTCACAGAGGTGCACTAATCCATGCACGTTGTAACAAAGAAATTCCTGACCATATAACACACCAAAATGTTCAACAAAAGACACTAGACATCTATGAGCAAAGTCATTTAACAGAAAGCAAAATTTCCGACTGAGAAGAATATAAACAGAAACTGACAAAAGCATAAAATGGCTGTATACTGGTGGGGCCAGGACATTACAAAGGACCACTGGACCAGTGTATAACAAGAACTTTCCACCTCAGTCTATGTGTTAGTGGTCTTGGTTTACGTGCAAAATCAGAAGGTATGTAAAATCTCAACCCTACAAGAGAATCTGAAATGACTTGACTCAGCCGGGAAGGTAAACGAACACGGTGTGGCCCTGAACTCAGCCAAAGATCTAAAAGTCTCCGCATCATCCCAAGACAAACAAGATGCATGTAGTCATGAGGAAAACCACCAACCATGTCAATGTTTGTTTCTATTAGAGGAGACTTAGCAACATGATGGTCTTCATCTATCATCTGCCGGAAAGAGAGGTCTGTCCTAAGTGGGGCATTCATTTCAGGAAAGGTCATTCGGTTTTTGAGATACAGGCCAGTTTGAGTACATTTACCACAGGCGGAGTGGCCAGTGTGACTCTTGATGGCTTTGATAAAAGCCCTAGCAGGTGCGTCACATACAACAGAACTAACTTTTAAAAAGAACCATTTGCCTTTAATGCCAAACCCACAGCTCAGTGTTTTCAATTCACTAACAAGATCTTTCAAATATTCGTTCAAAGATTTTGGTTTAGAGCTACCACAGAACAGTCCGATTACGAAGGGCCTCTTTAATTTACAGTCTTGAAGAATCCCAAGTATTGGCCAAAACTGTACAGAGTTGCTTTTAAACAGTGGAATGCCATCAAAGTTTAACTGCAGTCTAAAAATGTGTTGATCAGGAACTTTGGACCACATGTTTTCAAATGCTGTCTTTAGTGAATTTAGTATACCGAAGTAATGAAAATCTCCACCAGCTATCATTTGAGTCCTGTAAGAGGTTTTTGTTCTGAGCAGAGTTCTACCATCTTTGGGGAGGAAAGGGAGATGCACCCTAAGTATGGTCAAAAGGGCAGACAAAGCAATCAGAGAGATTCCAAAATTTACAGCCCAGCCGGCCAGTGAACCAACCAAATCATCACTCACTAAATTCTCCTCATCAGATTGATCATCATCAGAATCCACCTCTGATGATGACTCAGCACATGGCTCCTCAGAATCTGAGGCATGCCTGGAAGATAAATGATCTGAGTGTAATTCCTCCTCACTATCTTGAATGCAACCAAGGGAGTCAAATAAGTCATTA